GCCGGCCGGGGGCTGCTGCCCCGCCGCCGGCTCTGGCCGGGCCGGTCTCGCTGCCGGGGGTCTACGTGGGGAAGAGGGGGCTCGTTGCACCGCGGGGCAGAGAGGGGGAGCGGGCTCCCCTTTGTCAGCGGCGCTCGGCACCGTCTGTTGGATGGTGACTCGCAGCAGCGGGGGCGGGCGGGGCGGGGGGGGGGGATGCGGGTTTCCCCGGCCCCGAGGTGACGGCTGGTTTAATTCCCAGCCCGTCAAATAAAGCGGGGGACCGGTAACAACAGTCAGAAAGCGCTCCCGAGCGCTCCGGGAATACACCTCCTGTAAAGCTTCTCTCCTCCGCTGCCACAAAGGCAGTAAAACCAGAGGGACGGGCACGCAGCCTGTGCCTCTGAGCATCTCCCACAGCACTCCCTGTGCGGACCTCCCTCCTTTCCAACAACTCTTTAACTTGCGAAACAAGCACCCCCACAGCAAGTTAAGCCCCGCGACCGCCCCGCGCGCGAATCTCGGCCGAGCTGCGGTGCGGGCGCTGCCTTTCTCCCTCTCGGCCCCCCGAAACGGAAGGGAGCCGAACAATCGGCCATTTGTGCAGACGCAGCCCGCACCCCCCGAGCAGCCAAAGCCAGCTGACTGAGCGGCGCGGGAGAGCAGCGCTCGCTGCTGACCGAGCAGGGCGCACGGAAACACGGCGCGACCCTCCGGGCAGATTCCGTCACTGGAGGGGGAGCGACACAAAAGAGGCAGCCGTTCCAACGCGAGCACATCCAGGAGTTGCCGTGCCTCCCATTCTGACCTGCTTTAGTCGTATCGTTCAGTATGTCAAACACACGTATGAAGGCAACACAGGTACTACTCCAAGGAGGAAAAAACGGCATTTGTGCATCAAGTGTACAGTATCCGGCAGTGACAAAGACTTCAAGGCTGTGGGTGAAAATTGCTGAGGAACAGATCTTGGCAAAATAAGGGAGAGAAACCACTTTATGCTCTCTCTTTCTATTATTTGCTTTCTTATTCCAAGACCCAGTGAGTCTGATTGCTGCTTCTGGTTGTCCCTGTGGTGCAGGCATGTCCGAAGATGCAGCCCCTGCCCTGAAGAAGTTTTCTTTACCGGTAAACAACATGTAGAATTGATCTATTAAATTTCTGCAAGGTCAGACATACAGGTACTGAGCCAATTAATGTCAGATATTCATTGTAACACTCCCAGGGGACATTACTGAGCAGCCGTGTTACAGGAATACTGATGCATAATTGTAATCTTCCATTTCACCGGCCGTGGGTTTTTGTTGCCTACGTATTTGAAAAGCTGCAATGAAAGAAGCAGCAAAAGAGAAAGAGAGGAAGAACAAGAAACAGGTGCAGCATTAAAGCAATGCAGTAACAGCGATGTTTATCCAAACAAATAAATCTCTCCATTTCTCTGTCTTTTCTCTGGCATCCTCTACAATAGCCCCAATCCTCATTTCCCCGAGCTCACTGACATTCCAAACTGAAGCACATATGGGGCATATATGTGATGTATGGTGCTGTATTTGTACAAATCATCTATTTGCACATACATGGGAATGGATTTTAAGCATACTCGTATACTTTACATACATGAGCAGCTGGCAGCAGGTCAAGAGGGAGCACTGGGAGGATGCAAGCTCTCTCATACTGAAAGGACATTAACAATGGTTGTCCTGGAAGACGGTCTTCCCCCTTCAGCATCTCACCAAGCAGAAACATTTTCAAAAAACCTTTTGGGTAATTGTACACAAAGTAACTGCATAAAGTGCCCCAATGGTGAGATTTTCTTAAGGCTCTTCCTCTTGTCCCTACCTCTTTTATCAATTTCAAGGAAGAGAAAAATCTATGCATTTTATCAGGAAAGACAAAAATTTTGCAAAAACCAAGGCCAATCGGGTTCAGTTTGGATTTTCATTACCTATAATAATTATTTCAAAAAAAAGGAGAGGGATAGAGAACTTCTTCATTTTGCTATCTTCTGTTAAAAATAATTTCACTCCAAGGGAAGAATTATTATTTCATTAAAATCCCACTTACGCGTGATGTATTTTTGTGGTCAGTCAGACCCTTTAATCATACCACAAGTAACAACAATTAACCTGAACAAAGCAAAACACAAAGACAAGTCCTATGTATTTTCCCAATTGTTACAAGTTCCGATTTCACTACAGATATTACTCTAAAATGACATCAAGGCACGCTTCATTTATCGGAATCTTGAATGGTCCGTGAAAGAATTAATTCTCGCTGGAAGAAAACCGGACTGCTCTCGGCATGCTCCATCTAAATCCAATGGCGGATGAGGAGGAGGATGGAAGGGGCCCCCAAGTGACAGCAGCATGTACTGAAGAGCAAGGCAGCACGGTAGCCGAGCCTCTAAAAGTCAGCAGACTAACTCAAGAGACATTCTCATCATACCACCAAGGAACAACGAAGCCTCCCGGCACTTTTTCAAACCTTTACGCAGGCCTCGCTTAAGCAACTTGCACCTGCCACGCAGGAGCCCAGCGGCTCAGCGTTACCGTCTCTCTCGTTTTATGGCCGGGCAGGTGAACTGGGGCAGAGAGGCTACCACAGGGTCGTGCTGCAGGTCAAGAGCAGAATCGCAGTTCACTCGGGTGACACTACACCGGCACTTCGGCTCTGAGCCCCCCACGCTGCTTACTTCCCTCCAGCGCAGAGGGTGGGAGATGACTCCCAGCAGCCTGGGTCAAAATACGTTTGGACCCGTGCTTTTGCAGAGGTGGGACAGGAGGGGGTAGAGCACCAGAGATGCTGCAGAGGTGAATCGCTGTCTCACTTTGCACGTGGCCTTCAGCAAGCCACTTGTGCAGACATCCCTGTCTCAGCTGTCCCTTCAAAAGCACCATTCGCATCCTGCTCAGATGTTATAATCAATCCCTGGTGCACGTTACCCATCACTAGGCAATTTAGCTACTGTCCATGAAGTTCTGTGTGTGCCAACCATTGTATTTCACATTTATTACAGCTTTTAATTAATCGTCTCTTGATTGCTAAACACAGCACTGTCAACCTCTATGCCACTTCCCAGCAGGAGTTTCAAGTAAATAGTAAGGCCTTCTGGACACGGTGGATCTTCCGACCAATATTGTGGTCAATTTTCCACTCCTCTCATCCATCTTCCTAATACTGAGATAAGCCATTTATCTCCCGGGTAATATATTTTAACAGCAGACAAGTGCTACCTTCATTTTCAGCATGAAAGGAACCCTGGGGTGGTATAAATATTTATATGCTTATAGAAATGAAACAGCTGAAAGTCCTTGCTTAGCGGGCCTTAACTTGTGCAGGTTATGCTTTGCATAAGTAGGAATATGACCCTCTGAATTACCACTGGGGCAGAAGAAAGCAGAGGTACGTACAGTAGAGTTGAAAAAAGCCACGGCGTGCCGGCTTCCTTATGGAACTTACGGAAGACATGAGGTTTCTGGGATACTTGCAATTGGCCAGGAAGAATTTGATCTCTGGCCAAAGCAACCGATAACTTTGGTATCAGTCAGGGATATTTCCATGTCCCTTGAATTCCCGAGTTTGGCCTTTTAATTAATTAAAAGAGGAACCAACACCCAGAATGTGCTGCCTCCCCTCTTCCTACAAGTAACATCCATTGCTAGAAATAACGTTGAAAAGCTGTTCTACTTTCTAACAGAAAAAAACCAGTATGCTCTACAGCAGACACAGTATATTCAGAAGCCTCCTTCACTGAAAAGAAACTGCATTTTCACGTTATTCCTCCATGGGACAGGACACCTATGCAAAGATTTAGTTCTTTATCCTACCCATTACTGAAGTGCCTATTGGGTTGAAACATCCCTAACGAGCAATGCAAAATAGGCACTTCCCAATGACAGAATTTTTCTTCAACACCTCTCCATCTGCTTTTTTTGAAAAAGGGACCAGACCCAGAACTACCCTAGCAAACCCCAGATCCAGAGAGACTCCCACATTGTTGGTTCCAATGGGTAAAGAAGTGACACAGCAATTAAGAGATAACCTGACTAAACTTAATGGAGCATGGAAAATCCAGTCTGCAGATTTTCCTGCTGCCAAACAACTGAGCAAAGGCAAAGTGGATCTTCTTTGGGCAACATGCAAGAAAGCAAACTTTACATAGGCTATCTGCTTCAAAATCACATTAAATAACAAAGAAATTGCCTCCTCTAGCAGTTACAGCGGGCAGAAACATTTTGTTTCCATAGCATAATTTGGTAAAACTGACTCAACACAATCAGATAATGCTGATCACTTCTGCCTCTACGTCTTTTGATGCTGGTGCCAGGACATGCCCTTGAGAGGTACGGGAAAAGGCGTACACAAAGAATTCCCGGGGCTGTTCATGTTCTGAAGAGGAGACTGTCCTCTCCTAATGAATCCATGGAGCTTCCCTGCACACACATGGGAATATTTCCAGGTAAGAGGTGTGAAATACAAAAGGGGAGGCTGGAAAGGGGCTCAGAAGCACGGGTGTAAACAGGCTTCCACTGCAGTGTGGGGAAGGTGCTCAAATAGGTGACAGAGCAGGACAAAAGCCACAAAATAACAAGATCCTCATTTCAGAAGACTGATTGTTTTCCTGGGCAGGTATCTTTTTGCTTGGATGTTATCATCAAACTCTGGCACATATTACCTATGCAAAAGGAAGAATTACAAGAACATGATAAAGACAGAAAAGTCAGGTCTGAAAACTGGGAAACACTGACTGGTATTCTTTAATTTAACATCTTTGAATAAGACTTTTTTTTTTATTACTACGTCCTGCTCCTTCGCTACGGCTCTGCCTTGTGCAGCATATATTGAGGACTTGCTGTGGGACTGGGTCAAAGCTGAGACAAAACGTCCTTGTCTGCTGGCACCCTGCTTTACCCACTGCAAAGGCTGGAAGCGCCTGCCTCCGCAGTGTGACACAGAGGCCCTGAAACCTGCCCACTGAGAACTACCTTGGACACAGCAAAAGTTGCAGAGTTACAGTTGCTGTAGCTCAGAGCTCCGTCCAGCTCATTACATCCTACAAGCAGATCCTGGCTCTAACAGCCAAGAGCTACAGCTGGAAAGAAAACCCTTTGCAGCTCAGGCTGAAGCATGCTCAGAGCTTACGAGCCTTCAAATATTAACCTGCAAAGCTCTAAAAACTCTTTACAGAGCATGTACAAACTGCATTTTTTTGGCCTCTAACTTGGGCCAGATTTGGGTGGATATTCATCAAGATGGCAAAAAAACCCAAAGACTCTTCCCCAAAGCGATTTCAGATCCCACTTCAGAAGTAAAAGGGCATAAGAGCTTTTCAGACAACTACTGCCAGAATTTCTTTTAACATAGCAAAACAGTATTCACCCCTAACCTTACCCATAGCAGCTTCTGAACCACATTGGCTGCATTTTTCATTAAAAAATTAAATAGGCTGAGGCAGACACCTTTCAGAATAAGTAGATAAGATGCAACAACTCTCAAAGCAATTGAAAATGAAGTCTTAAAATGCAAGGCGTTTGCCAGTGCTAGTAATGGACAATAAGATAAGCCCTAACTATAAAATACATGTTTATATTACAAACATGAAAGAAGGTTAAAAAAAAAATATCTTAAACCATTCTATTAACACCTTCTCCTGTAAGAGACACTCTTTGAGACAGCATCTATCAAAGACTGAAGATGATTGCCTGCTTACACTT